ATCATAGTTCCTCTTATTCCGCCGTTCCCGGACCCCTGTGGCCCCTGAGGCCTTCTCGTAAGCCTCCTTCAAATTCTTCCTCAATCTATCCACATAATTACAATGTGACCTAACTGAGGTCTCATCCATCGAGGTGCCAAAGACTATGTCTACAGGCAGGCGGGCTTCCCTGCCAAACATCAACCGATACGGGGAATACCAAGTGGCATCATTCTTCATGCTATTGTATGCATGCACGGCAGTAGAAATATTGTTTCTGTTCTTCAGTAAGTGTCCCCAACATATCCAAAAGAGTACGATTAAACATCTCAGGCTGCGGATCTCCTTGTGGATGATAAGGGGTGGTACGTGACTTCCAAATGCCCAGTAGACCCAGTAATTGCTTAACAAGCCTACTTTCAAAGTCTCTCCCTTGATCGGAATGTATGCGCTGGGATAACCCATAATGTACAAAAAACTTCTCCACCAGTACTTTGGCTACCATAACATCACGCTGATCTTTTGTCAGGAAAGCCTAGGCATAACGAGTAAAATGATCAGTCATGACTAACACATTCCCTCACCCACTTACATCCGGTTCCAGGCAAAGGAAGTCAATGCAAACCAAATCCATAACTTTGCAAATGGCCCATCAGTGCAGTCCTCGAAGGTAGGGTTTTCCTCTGGACACAACGCAGACAGGATCTGCAATAATCCTTGACTTTTGTCTTCATGCCGGGCCAATAGAATCAATCCATTACTAACTTAGAAGTCTTTTCCGGCCCCAGATATCCATGCTCATCATGTAGCATAATCAACACTGCTTCTCTGTGTTTCTCCAGAAGCAAAAGTTGCCACCTTTCTTCAAGCCCATCTGAAGGGCCCCTCCGATAGACCACTCCATCGTGAAGCTGTAGTCGGTCCCACTCCTTGTGCAACACTCAGGTTCCTCTCGATGAATCGGCAAGTAAACCCTCCCGCTGGCCACTTCTCAGAGCTCTTTTGACCAGGCCACAAAGGAGATCCGCCACCTGGTCCCTCCTCAGATCTTTCTTAGTCAGAGCAAACCTACCTTCCTCTCTGACCTGAACAGGATTGCAATATAGTTTGGGAACACCTGCAATAGTAACTCACATTGATTTAGCCCCAGTTTCTCCCCTAGCTCGATGCTGAACCCCCTGGTACAATGTGAATACCATCAGGGGTCAATTGTATCCACTATCTGATATATGCCCCTGGATCATGGGGTCTCCTTGACTAAGCATCTGCATCTGTTTTCCTCACACCTGGGTGGTATCTCAAACTGAACCTAAATCCAGAAATGAGGTATGCATGGAAACTCCACCCTCAATCACTGTCAGCCTTGCATGTTTAGGCCAAATGTAGCTGAATAATTCCAGGAAGCAAAATTCATTAGCTTTACACATGAATAGAGAAGATGTTATTTGCAAGCAAGTTGCACATCGAATCACTTCCAGCCTTCATTTCAATTAAGAATAAATCCATGCACACACTTGCTAGTTTTACCAAAGCAGCATCTTCTGCTGAAAAGATAAACATCAGATCTCTTTGGAACTAGAAATCATTTTGATAAAAATGTTTCTGTCCCACACATTGGTGACTCGGGTTGAGATCCATCCCAGGGCTAACCCAGTCTCTTTCTTCTTCCAAGCTCAAAGCTGAAAACAGTCTTGAAGAAGAGGTGGAGGAAATATAAAACTTATTGCAAGAACCATTGATAAAGGGGGGAAAAGTCGTGTAGATGCATTTAAGTTTTTTATCCTGAATTTTGCAAAATGCCACAGCTTTGATCATATTTCTGTCCTGGCTGTTTAATCTTCCTGTTGTTTGTTTTCCTAGGCAAGGCTCCAACGCACTGCACATATGGGTCCCAGGCCATTGGGGGCTTGTATTTTTCAGGCAGCAGCCCCCGCTGCCACATGGTAAGCTGCTTTCCAAACAGAGGGGAATTTCAAAAGCAGATTGTAAGATGGCATTAATGATGGTTCCCTAAATGAAGCTGAAATCTTTTTAAAAAGACTCCTTTGGATGAGCTTAAAAACAGAACATTTTTAAAGTGTGAGGGTTTTTTTTTAAAAAAAAAATCTATGATTTGATATTCTTGCATTGTTTCCACTGTGAAATTTTTATGATTGGTTGGGGGGTAGGTAAGTATATGGTAGATAGATAGATAGATAGATAGATAGATGGATAGATAGATAGATAGATAGATAGATAGACGGACAGACAGACAGACAGGCAGATACAGACAGACAGACATAATAGATTATGACTGACATAATAGATGATAGGCATAGATATATAAAGAGATAATAAATAATAGAGAAGCATAGATAGATAGATAGATAGATAGATAGATAGATAGATAGATAGATAGATAGATAGATAGAGATAGATAGTAGACAGACATATAGATGATATAGATATATACAGATAATAAATATTAGGGATATGATAGATAGATAGATAGATAGATAGATAGATAGATAGATAGATAGATAGATGGATAGACAGATAGATAGAGATAATAGACAGACATATAGATGATATAGATATATACAGATAATAAATATTAGGGATATGATAGATAGATAGATAAATAGATAGATAGATAGATAGATAGATAGATAGATAGATAGATAGATAGATAGATACAGATAATAAATATTAGGGATATGATAGCTAGCCAGCTAGCTAGCCAGACAGATAGATGATAGATAGATAGATAGATAGATAGATAGATAGATAGATAGATAGATAGATAGATAGATAGATAGATACTGTATTTTGCAAAATGAAAGTTTTGTAGGAGACAAAGTCTTATCTGGAGATGCTTAAGTACATCAATAAATCTTATGCTGGGACAGTGACTTTTCTGATTCTCAGTGCTACTATGGCAGTAATTGAGATGATCTCACTCTCAGTGGAATAGGAGAAGAATAGTTCAAGCCTTAATTGCATGAAGAATAGCCAAGACCAGGGATACTTACTTACACACAATGGCTTGTTGGTGGTTTAGGTAGAAAACAAAACTATTGTTTTATGGTACAACAAAACAAGAAAGGATGGCAAGACCACTATTCTCAGCTGTGGACTAGATTCTGCCAGGAACATCAGGAAAAACACTAGAAAACTTGGAATTTAATATTTAGAGTAGGTTAATAGTACAGAAATGAGGAGATTAAAAAATGGGAGAAAGAGGCAAGAATTACCAGAAAGAGAATTTCATGGATTCCAGTAGCAGAGCATGCTGAGAAGAAAAGCATTAATGTAAGTTGCAACAGGAATGTTAATGCTATTTACTGCTTTTCACTGATTTATAGATTCTCATGCTCAGCCAGGCAATACATTTAGCTATTGAGCCTCCCTTGCAGAAGAGATGCTACTGGGGTGAGGCCTAAGTTACACTAATTTTATCAAGCAACCCCACTCCTGGAAACCTCAATGTCTAAAAACTATAATGCTAAAAGATCGGTTTTATTTTATTCATCTATATTTCATGTTCTAGACCACCCATCTCCCTCAAGGAGTTTCTTTTAATATAAAAAGGTAACGGTTTCCCTATTAGTAGTGTCCAACTCTAGGGCACGGAGCTCATCTCTGTTTCTTGGCCAAGGGACCCAGCATTGTCCAAAGACAATTTCTGTGACATTTGGCCAGCATCATTGTACACCAAAGGTGCACGGAATGCTATTCCTTTCCCACCAAAGTGGTACCTATTAATCTACTCGCATTTGCATGCTTTTGAACTCCCAGGTGGGCAGGAGCTGGAGCAAGTAACGGGAGCTCACCCCATTATGTGGAGCTCAGGTCTCGAACCTGGCATGTCAGCTCTCCAGCTGACAAGCTCAGCTTCTTTAACTGCTGAGCCTTCTTATCTTGTGACTCAAACCCGTGTAGGGATTATCATTCTAATCCCATCTTTCTTGTTTGAGGACTTTCTATCTCTTGAAGGGCTTCTTATAAAATCCTCAAGGCTTCAAAAGATTGGCAAGATTCAGACCACTCTCACCATCTCTCGTGGACCAACACAATAATTTCCAACACATAGACATTTGGAAAGGATTAAGGCTTTCCTTATTTTTTTTTTTTTTTGAAAAAAATAAGGGCTTTAGCCCATTTCAGAAGTTTCAAGCCTTCTTTGCAGGACATCTAGCCAGCACAGAAAACTACAGTACTTCCTTGTTCTATTTCATAAAGGGGAACATTCCTGTATGATCCAGGGCTGATGACAGCCATCTGGGAGAAGATCCAGGCCTGAGTTCATCCATCATGTTAATGGGCAACAGTGCGGTTCGGTAGAAACTCAGATCCTCGGGTTTGTAAGACAGGCTTAAGGTCTTGGCAATGATAGGCGAAAACAGCCCCTTCCTGCAAGGAGCTGTCAAAAGGCTGCTGCTCAGGCCTCCTTTGAAGCCTCTTCAGGTGAACCTCAAGGACAGACTCCACCATGTAGTAGCCTTCATGTCTGCTGGCTTCACCTGATGCCCAGAACAGAAACCAGAAAGTGCTTGCAGGCAAGTAGGAGCTCAGTATCTAACACAGACTAACAGCTGCAAATGAAAAGGACTCAGATCAAGACACGGTGGGATTCCACGGACGCCTTCGGAAGGGAGTGCAGGCTCTGAATGGGTCTCCGTGGAAGGAAACCGCAGGCTCCTTTTCCAGGGAGGTGGGGGCGAGCGGCCGGGCGAGCGTTGCAGTGGAGCTATGCGGGAGCCTGGCAAAGAGGGAAGCCGTGGCGGCTGTCCCTGGCTTAGCAGGTCCTCGCCGGTTCACCTCTCCGCGCCCCTCCAAGCCTCCGTCTACGGCCAGCACCCTCCCCTCCCCCTCATTTTGCAAAGGGACGGAAGCCTTTGACCTGCTTCCCCCCTTCCTAGCCAGCCGACTCGGCTGCGATCGCCCCTCAGGTGAGAGCAAAGGACGGGGAAGGCGGTGAGGGCGCCCGGGGGCGCCTCTGGCTTTGCAAAAGGGAAAGGCAGGAGAACCGCAGCCCTTACCTTCCACAGCCATTCTCTCAGAGTTCGCTTAATGCATGCATAATTCGCCTGCCCAGAGATGCTTCTCCTCCTCCTCCTCCTCCTCCTTCCTCCCTTCTTCCCCCACCCCCTTCTTTCCTTTCTTCTCTTTCTCCCTTCACGGTTTTCTCTCTTGCTCATCTGCAACCGAGAAGTTCAACCTGCAGCGAGGAAGGCTTAGCCCCCTTCCCTCTGCAGCCTGGGAAATGGAGTCTCTGCCTCCCCAGTCAAGCTGCGCCTCGGTGGCCCTTGGTGGCGACGGAGCTCCCTCACTCCCACGGAGCCCCAGTCCTCTCCACCTGAGACCGTCTCCCGCAGAGGAGGACTCCCTTCCTTCTTGCCCGGCCTCAGGGGATCAAAACCAATGGGGAAAAGCAGACTACAATTCCCGACATGCAATGCCGCAAAGTTTAGCGGAGACCTGGAGTGGGAACGGTTTGATTGAGCGCTTCCTTGTCAAATTAGAAGAGGAAACAGGTAAAACCGGGTGGTTATCGGACGGCCTGGCAAAAAAACAAAAAAAAACAAAACAAAAAACAGCAGCTGGGATCAGAACCTTTCCAAAAGCAAGGGAGACTTTGCTTCCCAAATAGCTTTTGGCTGCAAACGTGCAGCAAAATTTGCTGATGCTACTAACAACATGCTACTTTCGTTATTTTATAGGCGAGGTCCAAAAGTAAGTTTGCACCTTCTAGGGTTTTTTTTTGTTTTGTTTTGTTTTGTTTTGTTTGTTTGTTTTTACCTTTTACCACATTTCTGGGCTTCTTTGAGGTACCTGTCTCCTATCAAGCCATTTGGATTTCTTAGAATCATAGGGCTGGGAGGGATCTTGGAGATCTAATAGTCCAACCCCTGCCCAAGGCAGGCGTCCTTAGACCATCTCAGACCAATGGCTGTCCAATCTTTTCTTGAAAACCTCCAGCGATAAGAGCACCTGCAATTCTGGGAGGCAAGCTGTTCCATTGATTAATTGTTCTCATTGTCAGGAAATTCATCCTTGCTTCCAGATTGGGCCTCCCTCTTACGAGCTCGTTGCTTCTTATCCTGCCCTCAGGTGCTATGGAGAATAAATTGATGCCCTCTTGCCTGTGAGGATCCTTCAAGTATTGGAAGACTGTTATGAGATCTTCCCTAAACCTTTCTGCAGCCATTCATTATACGATTTAGCCTCTACACCCCTTATCATCTTTGTTGTTTTTCTCTGCACTTTTTCTAGGATCTCAGCCTCTTTTTTGTATGGTGGTGAAGGTTGCTTAATAGTTTTCAGTCAGAAATTTCCCATCATTTCTAGTCTGGATCTTCTTCTCTAGAGTTTCTACCAATTGGTTCTTGGCCTATTCTTGAGCAATAGGGAAATTAAATCCATACTTAATCCTTCTCTTCATTAGACTAGACCAGTGGTTCTCAACCTTTTTAATGCTGCGACCCCCAACTGGTCGTAAGTCGAGGACTACTCAACCGGTCGTAAGTCGAGGACTACTCAACTGGTGCAGCACCGTTTGCAGAATGGGACTTTTGGCGGGCTCAGCAGGGCAGAGACAGCCTGGACAATTCCTATTGGCTTTTGAAAGCCAATAGAATTAGACTCTATTCAAGAGAGTCTATTCTATTGGCTTTCAAAAGCCAATAGAATAAAAGTGAGTAACACAGCTAAGGAAAAGGGGGAAAAAATGGTGGACTGCGTTGTTTGGCGACCCCCATGAAATGGTCGTTTGACCCCAAATGGGGTCCCGACCCACAGGTTGAGAACCACTGGACTAGACCAAGGTTGCCTACCCCTGGACTAGACATACCTAGTTCCCTTAGTCAGTCATCATACAATTCAGCTCCCAGGCCCCTTACAATGTTTGCTATCTCCTCTGCCCTCTTTCTAGGGGTCTGGCATGCCTGCCTGAGGAATTCTGGGAGTTGAAGTCCACAAGTCATAAAAGGGCTAACTTTCAAGACCCGTGTTCTAGGGCCTCAGCATCATAGTTTTATTCTTCAAAGCAATAAAATTCAGAAGGGAAGAAGGAAACAGCAGCACACTACCCTTTCTGGATATCCTCATTAGCAGAGGCAGTGATGGTGGATTAGAAACACAAGTCTATTGTAAAACTACACACACCAAACAAGTTCTCCGCTTACAAAGGAACAACCCAACTTTCCACAAGAGAATGTTGTGTAAGAACACTGTTTAGACAAATGCACTGCAACAACCCTGAATATCAGAAAAGGGAAAACAGATCATCTATAGCAGGGGTCCCCAACCTGTGGCCTGTGGCCCTCTAGTGGGCCATCAGGGGTTTGCAACCAGGCTGTGGAAACGGTGTCGAGGCCTCTAGTGGGCCATCAGGGGTTTGCAACCAGGCTGCGGAAATGGGCATCAAGCGCACACACCAGCATCCTCACTTCCACAAGCAGTGAGCCAGCTAGTGTGCACACTTCATTTAAGTGAATGGCAGGCTCACGTGCATGCCACTCACAAATGCCACTGCTGGCCACTCGCGCGGCACCATCTCCCCCCCCCCGCCAGCCCACAAAGCCTGAAACATTTGGGAACTCTGATCTATATAACATCTTCCAACAAAATGGACATCCACACATATTTCCAGTGGACAAATGCTTGGAAAATAAATGATTCAGTTCTCACCTTACACAGCCTAGAAAGGAAAGAATCGTTTCTGTGCATGCATTTGCAAAGGGTTTAAATGTGCCCCTTTTTTTATCTAACTGCATGCAATGGGACAGATGTTTAATGATGCATGTCTAAATTTCTGGTTACACTTTCTTAAAAGTGGAAACATACGAAGGCCTCCCAGGAGGCAGGCTGCAAGTCTTCCACCTCTTGACACATTGGCCAACAATATTGCCTCTTTTCATTATTAGCGTTTAAAACGATAATTTAGAAAAAAAATTAATCCAGTGGGACAAGGAAATGTGTAGATTCTCTGCTGTCTGTTCCTGGGTCAGAACAATTAACACTTGATGAAGATACTCTTTTTTTTCATTTCTCCACCCTCCCCACTTGTATAAATGTTTTATTTCTACTAATATGTGAAAACAGAATGGCAAAATAACACCGAACAAAGGCACTCCACTCTAAGTTGTGAAATAGCATCAAACACAATAAATTAAAGAAGTGGAAGGAATCAATTTTTTAAGCTCCATAAAATGAAATGGGTTTTGCTTCTGTCTTTTTTTTTTTTTTTAGTTGAGAACTGTTTAGATGCCTCCTAGGAAGATTCCTTCACGGCATCTCTTGGAAATTGTTCTTTGTCACCCCAACTCGTTCTGCATCTGATCCGTGAGTGTGAAAAAATCATGTTTTTCTGGCCTGGATCTCTGCTCCATTAGTAACGGACAACGCAATACAGGAAGTCCTTGACTTACAAGCACAACTGAGCCCAGCATTTCTGATGCTGAGTAGCATAGATGTTAAGTGAGTTTTGCCCCATTTTATGACTTTTCTTGCCACAGTGAATCACTGCAATCATTAGTGACGTGGTTGTCCCAAAAGTGCTTTATTCATGAGGCAACTGGACTTTCTTGTTTTTCTTTCAAGACGTTTCACTTCTCATCCAAGAAGCTTCTTCAGCTCTGGCTGGATGGTGGGGAATGGAAGGATTTATTCTCCTTGCAGACAGCTGGTCGTTTGCATTCTTTTAGCAAGTCGTTGAGGCCACCTGGAGGTTTATCTGTGTCTTCGGGGTCACCTGAGTAGTGCAAATGGGTGTGGAGCCTTCTTGGAACTGCTGAAAGGACTGTAGACTGGAGATAGATGATGTCATATCTCTCCCCTTCTGTGGGAGGGGCTGTTCATTTTTGAAACAGATGGCCTCTTTAACCGTCTTTCAAACCAGTAATCCTCTCTATCCAGAATGTGGACTTTGACATTTAGTGACATTGTTGTTAAGTGAATCTGACTTCCTTATTGATTTTACTGGTCAGAAAGTCATAAAAGGTGATCACATGACTCCAGGACAGTAGTTCTCAACCTTTTTAATGCCGCGACCCCCAACCAGTCGTAGGTTGAGGACTACTCAACCGGTCGTAAGTCGAGGACTACTCAACTGGTGCAGCACCGTTTGCAGAATGGGACTTTTGGCGGGCTCAGCAGGGCAGAGACAGCCTAGACAATTCCTATTGGCTTTTGAAAGCCAATAGAATTAGACTCTATTCAAGAGAGTCTATTCTATTGGCTTTCAAAAGCCAATAGAAAAAAAGGGAGTAGCACAGCTAAGGAAAAGGGGGAAAAAATGGCGGACTGCGTTGTTTGGCGACCCCCGTGAAATGGTCGTTCGACCCCAAATGGGGTCCCGATCTACAGGTTGAGAACCACTGCTCCAGGACACTGTTATAAATATGAGTCAGTTGCCAAGCATCCAAATTCTGATCACCTGACCACGGGGATCCTGCAATGGTTATAAGTGTTGATAGGAATAAGTAAACGGTCTTCCAAATTTAATATTGAAAGATAAATTTAAAATTGAATTTGCTGCAATGGAAATTTACTGAGTGGAGAAATAAGCCTGCCAAAGAAACTACCATGGATGGGAACCAGGAAAAGGTAGCATAAAGGGGGGATGTAAGATAAACACCTAGGCAAAAATTTATCTGGGTCTCCAGAATTGGGAAAGGAAGAAGACAAGCTATAAAAAACATTGCAAGAGGAAATGGCTAGCCAGGGAAGATTAAACTGAAAAACAGGAAAGAACCTATTGTTTTAAGGAACCATAAAATATCAGAGCTCAAAATAACTAACTGAATATGTCTAATATTTATATTATTAATATACATGTGATGTATGATTTGATATGTAGCAGGAAATGGCAATCGGAAAGAGTGTAACCTCATAGTACCTCAGCCAATGGGGAAAGAGGAGGGATGTGGCAGCTGGGACAGGGAAGTATAAAGAAGGGAATATTTTGGGTTGGAACTTTGGAGAGAATGAAGCTTTGATAGCTTCTCTCCCCACTTATTGCAATAAACAAAACAAAAGGTCTTCACTATGTCTTGGCTGGTTATTGGTCAGACTAGCTTGCCTCTTGTGATGAAAGAAAGTAGCCATAACAGCATGAAAAACAGTCATAAGTCACTTTTTTCAGTGCTGTTATAACTTTAAACGGTCACTAAATGAATGGTTGTGAGTCAAGGACTACCTGTATCTTTACTAGTGTGAACAATGGATATGAAGTCCCAAAGGTGCTTTTTCAGGAAACAACTGGACTTTCTTGTTTTTCTTTCAAGAAGACGTTTCACTTCTCATCCAAGAAGCTTCTTCAGCTCTGACTAAATGGTGGGGAATGGAAGGATTTATACTCCTTGCTGACAGC